TTCTCTAATATGGGGATGCTAATTCACAATGGGGGGAGACACTAAAGAAGAATAGCATTACCTTAGATTAGGTAGAGGAAGTGAAGGAGAAGGGAGGGGATGTGGGAATAGGAAGGATAGTAGAACGAAATAGACATTATTACTTTATGTATATATGTGACTGCATGACCAATATGATTCTACAACATGTACACTCAGAAAAATGAGAAATTATATCCCATCTATGTATGATATATCAAAGTATATAAATGTATTTTACTGTCATGTATAACTAATTAAAACATTTTAAAAATTCCAACCACTGGTTCTTGGGGGCAGGTGTATCCTTCACTGTCTAGTGTCCTAGAACACTAACTCAAAATGGGATAAAAGTCAATTTATGAACCCTAATCATATCTTTTAAAAAACAAACAATACAAGCCGGGTGTGGTGCCTCACACCTGTAAACCTAGCAGCTCGGGAGGCTGAGGCAGGAGTATCAGGAGTTCAAAGTCAGCCTCAGCAATAGTGAGGCATTTAGCAATTCAGTGAGACTCTTCTCTAAATAAAATACAAAAAATAGGGCCAGGGATGTGGCTCTGTGGTTAAGTGCCCCCAAGTTCAATCCCTGGTACCAAAAAAAAAAAAAAAGAAGAAGAAGAAAAAAGAAATAATAAACATCAGCCACTGAACATTACAGTGTTTCTATAAATGCTTGTTTCATTTTATATATGTATATGGATACATGCAAATACAATGTACTAGTCAATTTATGTAATTCCAGGGGCTCAAGAGGCTGATGAAGGAGGCATCAAGGTCAACCTGGGCAATTTAGCGGGACCCTGGTTCAAAAGTAAAAACAAAAACAAACAAACAACAACAACCAAAAAAAAAAAAAAAAAAAAAACTGTGGTGCATGCCTGTAATCCCACCCAGAGGTGGGGCAGGAGGATTGCAAATTCAAAGCCAGGCTCAGCAATTTAGCAAAGCCCTAAGCAATTTAGTGAGAAAAAAAAAAAAAAAGGGCTGGGGATATGGCTCAGTGGTTAAGTACCCCAGGTTCCATCACCGATACCAAAAAAAGAAAAGAAGTAGTACTGGGGATATAGCTTAGTGGTAAAGCATGCTGGGTTCAATCCTTAGTTAAAWAATAATAATAATAATAAAAATAATTCAAATTATTGTAGTAGTTATTCCCCCCTAGGAAAAAGGTTCATCAGATTTCTTTTTAAACTTTAAGAACACTGTTATTGAATCCCTTAAACTCTCAGAACCCAGTGACAGGGCTCTGACTATAATTTTGGCTTTAAGGAGAGGATTTCCTGATTAGGAAKCATAAATGTGTGGTCTGCTTGACAGTTTTCTCTGAAAACAGCATTCTGATTTCTTATTTATACATCCATCTCTTATGAATTTGGTCCACATGAATCAGGCCTCTGGAGCCCTGTGACTTCTGGGTACACTTACCATAAAATTTCTGAGCCTAACTAGTCCATAGAATGTGGTAACAAAACCACAATACTGCCACCCTGTGGACCCTTCCATGAGCTCAAAGAACAGTCACCAAGGCTTTGAATGAAAAAGCATACTACTTTGGATACAACCCAGAGGAGACTTGGGGTGTGGGTATAGCTGAGTGGTAGAGCACTTTCTAGCATACATCAGGTCCTGGGTTCAATTCCTGGCACCTCAAAATTAATGATGATAGAGAGGAGACTCTATCCAAAGATCACTTTCCCTAAGCCTCCGAAATCCTTTAAAACCAGCTCAACTCTGAGTCTATCAGCTAGAACTGTCAGGAATCCTGCCCATGCCAACACCCTATTTCTCCTGCCCCCACAAATCCTCAGGAAAGTTCTCTTCACTATACTCACCAACAGAATTTTCCTAGTGGTATTTGCTTACTTAGGGCTGCTCTCCTCAACTTGGAATGTCAGCTTCCCCCAGCTCAGGTCTATAATTCTAAGGTCTGAAATTCAGATATCTCACATACCCGAAATCTCAGTCATCTTTTGCTTCTGGACAAAATGCAAGACTCTAAAGGCAGACTTTTTAGTGTGGGCTTCTACAGAATCTTGTCTCCAACCTGGGTTGGCCCTCAGCATCTCCAGGGAATCTTATTTATGTTAACAATCTGGGATCAGTAACTCATCCTGTCTCCCAGCATCCATCATTCTCCCCTTCCTGCCCTTCTTCATCCAGTGGATGTGCCTACCACACCCATGATAAAAACACAGGACAGACAGAGAAGGGTCTTCTCCCTCAGCAAGCCCTCCAATTCCTCTAATGCCTGCATCTATCCCACACCAGCCTTTCAAGTCTTCCAGATCTTTCTCTGATTCAAGGACAGTCTCACTCCTTGGGAACTGGGGCAACCTCTTCTTTTGTCCCCCTGGGTACATTACAGCTCTTACTTTCTTCCTCACATGATGTTTTGGTTTTGGTGCTGGGGATCAAGTCCAGGGCACACAAATTATATTGTTAAATTGTGTGCATATACAGATACATAACCATGAATCCCACCATTATGTAGGACTATAATGTACCAATTAAAAAATATGGGGAAAAATATCCAGGGCACATGCTAGTCTCATGTTCTACCACTAAGTCACATCCCCAGCTCTTTCTCACTTCTATTTTTAACTTCTCCAGGCTTCTTCCCTCAGTGTGCAAAGTCTCTTTCACCCTAAATAGAAATCTCTTGGATTCTGTGTTCCTGTCTAGCTACCTCAACTTTCTTTCTCTCAAATCACAGTCACATAGTCATGGTATTTAATCAACCAAATCTGGCTCCAACTTATCACCTGCATTTCATTTTTTCCACTCCCAGATATTGGCTTTTCTTACCACATCATTGAAACGGCTCAATGATCTGCTGATTTCCAAATCCAATGGACTCTTTTCTGTTTGTTTGCTTACAGTATTAGGGATTGAACCCAGGGGCACTCCATCACAGAGCTACATCCCCAGGCCTTGTTATTTTTTGTTTTGAGACAAGAGCTCTCCAAGTTGCTCAGCCTGGCTTTAAACTTGTGATCTTCCTTCCCCAGCCTCCTGAGTTGCTGGGATTACAGACAGGCTCTACCACACCTGGCTCCCAGTCTTATTTTCAATGAGTACCCCTAGGTTCTTATAACATAGTCATGACAAGCTCCTTATACTTCCAAATAGACTCCAAATAAATGTCAATGGAATCTATACCTTTGTTATTTGTTTTGCTTTTATGGTGTTGGGGATAGAACCCAGGGCCTTGAACGTGCTAGGCAAGCGCTCTGCCATTGAGCTACAGTTCCAACCCTATACCCACTGGTAGAATCCCTTCCCTACATTTACCCTTCAGCTCAGGGGACCCATCCTCACCTTCCAGAATACACTAGAGCTTTCTCCTTCCTCTAWAACGCACATTTGGTCTTTTCTCCCTTCCCACCAGGTAATACTATTTCTTTCTTTGTCTCCTCTCCATACTCTATAAGTGGATATTTACATCTGCAAGAATAGCTAATAAGGGCTAGGGCTGGGACTCAATGGTAGAGTGCTCACATGGCATGCGTGAGGCACTGGGTTCAATACTCAGTACCACATAAAAATAAAAGTATTGTGTCCACCTACAACTTATATATATACTGATAAATTCACAATATCTACAAGAATATCTGCTCCTTTATGTGGGCCTCCCACCCAGAAACTGTTGTTCTTAAGAGCATGTGACTACCCTATACATATGCCTTTTTACACCTGGCACCAAGCACAATCCCTGATACTGAGCAAGGTTGAGATAAATGAATATACTATGAATTGTCACAATACCTGTATTTTATTTATTTTCATTCAGTGCTGAGGATACAACCTAGGGCTTCACGTGTGCTAGGTAAGCACTCTATCACAGAGTTACAACCCCAGCTAGTAAATATATTCTGAATTGTGAGAGGTTCTCATACATGCCAAGGAGTTGAACATTTAGCCCACCAACACTGGGAGTCATACACACAAAAAACATATTTCAGGGAGATTAAAGAAGTTAGGAGCTAAAGGTGTAGCTCGCAGTGGTAAAGCATGTGCTTAGCAGTGCATGACACTGGGTTCAACATTTAGCACCAGAGAGAGAAAGAAGGTTGGATGCAGAATGATTTTAGGGGAAACCAGGGAGGATATAGCTATAATGGGACAGTCAAGAAACAAGATAGTGCTGAGCATGATTGTGCTTGTTACTCCAGCAACTCGGGAGACTGAGGCAGGTGGATCACAAGTTCAAGACCAGCCTCAGCAACTTAGCAAGACCCTTTCTCAAAAACAAAAAGGCTGAGGATGTAGCTTGCTGGTAAGTGGCCCTGGTCAATCCACAGTACTAAAAAAAAAAAAAAAGTAAACATGTTGCTTGGCATAGTGGCTCATGCCTCTAGCAACTCAGGAGGCTGAGACAGGAGGATTACAAATTCAAGGCCAGTCTGGGCAACTTAGAAAGAACTTGTCTTGTAATAAAAGCTAAAAAGAGCTGGGGATATAGTTTAATAGTTAGAAGACCTCTAGGTTTATTCCCTAGCACCCCACCTCCCACCCAATGTAACCACACTCCACAAAAAGGGTCCCACAGGGACTTACCCATTCCTAATATCACATGTATCAGATTTATCAACTGTCCCCATACCAAGAGCATCATCCCTCCTAAGGGACTATATTTGGATACGTAATGGACCAGAACAAGAAAGATACAAGTGCATGAGCACTGCTCAGATGCCAAGACCAGGGATCCCAAGACCCCAGAAGGCATTGAATATCATGGTAGAAGTGAGATGTGGGGAGTTATGAGAAAAGGGAGGTAAAAGGACAGAGACAATTCTGGTCACCATTTTTCTGGGGCTAGCCCAGTCCATTTTGCTCTTCCTTGAGCACAATTGTCCCTGGAAAGGACATATCCCTTTGCAACAGAGATCTGGGTTATACATTCATAAGCAGTCAGTCTCCCACCAGGCAAGATCTGAGGGTCAAGGCAAAGACAAGAAAGAGGAGAGAATTGGGCTCACCGGCCATAACATGGTTCTGATCTCCAAGAAGAACACATTATCCGCGTGGAACTCCTTCAGCCCCTGGAAGATATAATCCTTGAACACTGGAGCATGACGGACAAGGCCAGAGATGGAGAGAAAGATGTTTTGAAACTTTGTCCGAAGGGAATCTTCATTGGGATAAATCTTCTCGGGGTTCTTGGTCACCATAGTGAAAGCCCTCAGCAAGCTACAGGATAAAGAAGGGGAAATAAAAGTTGGGATATAGCACTTGGCTAGCATGCACAAAACCCTAGGTACCATTACTAACACTGCAAAAAAGAAAAAGAAGAGGAGTTAAGGAAGATTCAGTCCATCGAGTCCAAGAATAAACCAGGATACACCCTAGTGAGCAGAGACCTGGAACAGGCAAAGGGAAGCATCTGGGGGTTTTGTTTTTGTTTTTGCAGTTCTGGAAATTAAACCTAGGGCTTCATACATGCTAGGCGAACACTACCACTGAGCTACATTCCAGTCCTTTTTATTTTATTTTAAGATAAAGTCTTCCTAAATTGCTGAAGTTGATCTCAAATTTGCAATTCTCCTCAGCCTCCTGAGTAGCTAGGATTACAGGCATGTACTACAATGCCTGGTCTTTCTGATATAAGCCCAGGTCCAGTGAAGAGGTAATTGGTTGCTTACTCTAAGTTCAAGATGGAGTGCACACTAGCAAGACTTTCCTGTTCTTCCACATATTTGGCCAACCTGACCCCATTTTATCCACATCTTAGACCAAGCTCTCTTTGTGTGTGTGTGTGGGGGGGGGGGGGCAGGTTATATCATGAAATGAATTGTGTCCCCACTGTGAGAAATACAAAATCCAGTGGTCCATTTTCAGAATACACTTATTTAGCCTTAGATATAAAATTGGGATATAAGAACAGCAGCTGGAAGGGAAATAGAACTGAATGGAAAGTTATATGCAGCTAACTCACACAATAGTACCATAGCCCATGCATGTGGCAGATCCAAAGTCCAAGCACTTGAACTGCCCTTTGACAAACAGGAAGTGGGGGAGGGGTTGCCCAACCATCAAAAATAGAAATCTCTTGGGGCTGGGGATGTGGTTCAAGCGGTAGCACGATTACCTGGCATGCGTGCGGCCAGGGTTCAATCCTCAGCACCACATACAAAGATGTTGTATCCGCCGAAAACTAAAAAATAAATACTAAAATTCCCTCTCTCTCTCTCTCTCTCTCTTTAAAAAAAAAATAGAAATCTCTCTGTTAAGAAATAGTAACTTAGGTCAAGAAGTAAGAGCTCCACATATGTCAAAATATTCCTGCCCCAAGAATATTTTCCCACAAGGAAACAAAAGGGAGGTGGGACCAATCAAAGGTATATTTCTCTAAATAACCTAATAGGAGACAGTAAAACCTAGGTGACATTTGGGAAGATGGTATACCCCAGAGTACTCAGCCAATGAGGAACCAGGGGAAGGACCTCATGCTCTATAGGATACAATGCTGATGGTAACTGCTTTGGGTGCACCAGACACCCAATCTTGCAAGACCATCACTAAAGCCTTGCTGTTTTGGCTGTACCTTGTGTCTCTATTCTTTGGGTTTGGACAAGTGAGTGTATTTGTCACACCACTCCCTCAAGTGCACATATTGAAGTCCTAACCTTCAGTGTGACTATATTTAGAGGAAGGTCTATTTATTTATTTATTGGTACTGGGGGTTGAACCTAGGCGTGCTTAACCACTGAGCCACATCCTCAGCCCTTTTTATTTTTTATTTTTTGAATTTTGAGACAGGGTCTCATTAAGTTGCTTAAGACCTCACTAAATTGCTGAGACTGGCTTTGAACTTGCAACCCTCCAGTTTCAGCCTCCGGAGCCGCTGGGATTACAGGTGTGTGTCATCATGCCCAGTCAAAATGGTCCTTTTAAGGAGGTAATTGAGGTTAACTGAAGTTGTGAGGGTAGGAACCTGATCCAATAGGACTGATGTCCTTATGAAAAAGAGGAGGAGATATCACAGATGTGCATTCCCAGAGGAAAGGTCACATGAGGATAGAGAGAAAAGGCAACCACCTGCACACCTATTAGAGAGGCCTCAGGAGAAACTAACCCTGTGTGCACCTTGACCTTGGACTCCAGGCTCTCCATAACTGTGAGATAGTACTTTTTTTTTTCTTTCTTTTGTGTGTGTATGTGTGTACTGGGGATTGAACCCAGGGCCTTGTGCATGCAAGGCAAGCATTCTACCAACTGAGCTATATCCCCAGCCCTCTGAGCTCAGGTTTTTATGCATGGGTGGTACCAAGGATTTCATAACTACAGACTGCTCATTGCCTAGGATAGGTCTGTGTGACACATGCTTTCTGAACCACCACTCACCTTTTATCAAACTCAACGATGTCCTTTAGCTTTTTTCTGTGATCCTCCAGCAAAACCCAGTTTGAACATTCTCTTGCCTTAAGGTTTTGGGGAGCTGACTGAGCAAATCTGAACTGCAGAATCCCCTCTGGGGTGATACAGAAATAGCAGTGAGGCCTGTAGGTGACGTTTTTTACCAGCCACTCCATACTCGCCATCCCAAATTCATGGAGGTGTAAGGCAGCCCCTGGAAAGGGAAGAACAGAGAAGGGACAAAGGAGGTGAAGTCCAGATACTAGGGATTAGGAGACTGTAAAGGCAGGGTAGAAGGACAAGAAGAAGTGTGAAGCATGTGAATTTCTGTCTTTCTGGCCAAATTCCTCAGACTCGAATGTAATGTACCTTTCCTGTTCCCATTCCAAGACCTCTCTGTCCTACTTCTTGCCTTTGTCTTCTCAGGAGGGCCACAGTTTTCTTTGCTATGAGTGGTGCTTCACACTCAGCACGGTGGTGCAGGCCCATAATCCCAGCTACTCAGGAGGCTGAGGCAGGAAGATTGCAAGTCTGCGACCAGCCTGAGAAACTTAATGAGACGCTGTCTCAAAATAAAAAATTAAAAGGGCTGGGGATGTAGCTTAATGGTTCAGCGCTTCCTGGGAAGTCTGAGGCCTTGGTTCCATCTCCCACATCATAAAAAAAAAAAAAAAGTGGGGCTTCCTTGGTTTCCTCCTTCACTAGTTAGATGTCATGGGTGGTCTCATTCAACAGAGGCAGCTTGGTAGGGTGGGAGGGTATCAGGCATCAGACTTGGAATCAGAAGACGGGTTCAAGTTGGGTCTCTGTCAGCTTTTCTTTCTCAGTTGAAGCCTGAGAGTGATTTGAGACCTTGTTACTCAACACCTCAAGAAGGGATATAATGGAATTGAACATCAGGAACCCAGACCTGTTTCCAGACTTGTCCTTGATTCTCATGTCCTGATCCCCAACCCCTCTCCCTGCACTGATATTTCAATCATTGCTCTGGGCCACTATCTGTGCGGCTTCTGGCCTGCAGGCTTTACCATTTGAGACCTTACATTTGTCCTTCAGACCAAACATCAGTTTTACTCTGGTGTTCCTCAAGAAATACTACATACTGTCCCTGTTCTCTTTGCTCCATCTAGCACCTGATCCCAACATTAGCCTCTCAGCAGGTGTCCCAGCCCTGTGAGCTCTGGTATGACACCCTCTCTAACCCTTACATTCCCCACAAGCTGGGGATGCTACTTTATTGACTTCAGTAATTATTGTTATTTGAGATGGGGGTCTCACTATGTTGCAAAGACTGGCCTCAAATTCCTGGGTTCAAGGTACAGACCTATAATCCCAGTGGTTCAGGAGCCTGAGACAGGAGGACCACGAGTTCAAAGCCAGTCTCAGCAACTTAGCAATGCCCTAAACAACTCAGTGAGACCTGTCTCTAAATAAAATACAAAAAAGGACTGGAGATGTGGCTCAGTGGCTGAGTGCTCCTGGGTTCAATCCCTGGTACCAAAAACAAAACAAAACAAAAAAAACCAAAACCCCTCTCTTTATAGCATTTAAAAAAGAGGTATAGGAAAGTCCTCATAAGCTGGAAGAAGCTATTTTGTTTTTTTGGTTTTTGTTTGTTTGTTTGTTTGTTTGTTTGGGGGAGTTTTTGTTTTGTTTTATTTTGTTTTGAAGGTGCTGGGGATTCAAACCAGGGCCTCCTGCATGCTAGGAAAGCATTATACCACTGAGGAACATCTCCATTCCAACCAGTAGCTAAATAGTTATTTAGATGTGCAAACTTAAAATTATTTTTCTTTTTTTTTCTTAATTTGTAATATGATTGTATTGATTGATTGATTAWTTGAATTAAAAAAATAAATGACAGTGGAATACATTACAATTCTTATTACATGTATACAGCACAATTTTTCATATCTCTGGTTGTATATAAAGTATGTTGACACCAGTTCTTGTCCTCATATATTTACTTTGGATAATAATGTCTATCACAGTCCACCATCCTTGCTAATCCCCTGCCCCCTCCCTTTCCCTCCCACCTCTCTTCCCTATCTAGAATTCATCTATTCCTCCCATGCTCCCCCTCCCTACCCCACTATGAGTTAGCCTCCTTATAACAGAGAAAACATTTGACATTTGTTTTTTGGGGATTGCCTAACTTCACTTAACATTATCTTCTCCAACACCATCCATTTACCTGCAAATGCCATGATTTTGTTCTCTTTTTTAAAAATGATTTTTCTTATCATAGGAAGGTGTTACACTACTCCAGGATGCTGTATCATATTGCATCCTATGAATATCCCAGCCTACTCTGAGGCTGAGTCCCCTAGGAAGCAAAGTTTTGATTTCAAGGATGAACCAATAACCACCATTGAATCCTTGCTTCTTAGGTTGGCAATAAAAGCAAAGAGAACTGTAGTTGCTACTCCATTTAGGATAATGACAACTTCCATGATAGTGACAATTCCAATTTTAGTTTCTTCTCACGTCCCAGCACCCCAAAACTATCCCTCTCCAAATTTTACCTTTTTTATTTTTTTTCAGTTGTAGATGGACAGGATATCTTTCTTTCTTTCTTTCTTTCTTTCTTTATTTATTTATTTATTTATTTATTTTTATATAGTGCTGAGGGTCGAACCCAGTGTCTCACACATTCGAGGCAAACAATCTATCATCTATCGCTGAGCTACAGCCCCAGCCCTCCAAACTTTACCTTTAGGCATCTTCTTTATTACATGAAACACCCGGCTGTCCTCAATGAGATGCTTGGCCTTGAAGAAGTGCATACTGGGCGGAAACTGGTGAGTCTCCATGGCCTCCATGATCTCCCTCTTTTTGATGGCCATGAGGTTCCTATTGGCCTTCTTCTCTTGGCCATTCATCAGCACCTCTGACCCAAATCGCATTCTCTTCTCTTTCACTAATAGCTGACTTCGTGCTTCATCCATAAATATGTTAGACCTGACAAAGGATATTTCCACAGCCAAAACCAGGGCGAGCAGCGCTGGCCACCCAGATGAATCACCCACCAGCATTGGGAGGCCTGGAAGAGGAACTGCTCCGAGGACGTTCAATAGGACTACAAAGGGAAATAAGCAAATGAAGATCTGCAAATCTAAAGATCCAACTCTATGTTCAAGGCCCTGGGTTCCATCCCTAGCTTCCTAAATAAAAAAATAAATGTTGAACTCTGATTTTCCTTTTCCCACCCATTCTCAGATTACCCAGAGGTAGGATATTGACTAATTCTTCTCTGAGACCCCAGAAGAAAAAGACCTCTAGATACAGACATGTAGGGGTTTTCCTAATAAAAGGTCATCAGGAGGTCTCTTTACATTGCAGCTTTGGGGGATAAACCCTGCTCCCAAATAAAGAAAGATACTGCATGCTGGGTACAGTGGTGCATACCTCTAATCCCAGCTACTTGGGAGGCTGAGGCAGGAGGATCACAAGTTTGAGACCAGCCTGGGCAACTTATACCCTGTCTCAGAAAAAAATTGATACGTCAGACCCTGGGTCAATCCCTCTTACAAAGAAAAGGAAGGAAGGAAGGAAGGGAATACAGAAAGACACTGCAATCCAATTTTTAGAGATTTACTTTAGGGAAGAAAAAATCACAAGACATTTGAAGAAAATCTCTAACATAAGTAAGAAACACACCGAGATGCCAGGCACAGTGACACATGCCTGTAATCCCAGTGATTTGGGAGGTTGAGGCAGGAGGATCATGAGTTCAAGGTCAACCTCAAAAACTTGGTGATGCCCTAAGCATCAAGATCCTATCTCTAAGAAAAATATAAAAAAGGGGTGGGATGCTGGGGCTGGGGCTCAGTGGCAGAGCACTTGCCTTGCATGAGTGAGGCACTGGGTTTGGATCCTCAGCACCACATAAAAATAAAGAGATAACTAAAGATATTGTGTCCATCTACAACTAAAAAATATTTTAAAAAGGTGGGTGGGGTGGGGATGTGGCTTAGTGTTAAGTGCCCCTAGGTTAAATCCCAGGTGCCAAAAAAAGAAAGGAAACACATAAAGAACCCAAGGGGAGGGGCTGGGGATGTGGCTCAAGAGGTAGCGTGATCGCCTGGCATGCATGTGGCCTGGGTTCGATTCTCAGCGCCACATACAAACAAAGATGTTGTGTCCGCTGAAAAATAAATAAATAAATAAATAAATTCTCTCTCTCTCTTAAAAAAAAAAGAACCCAAGGGGAAACAGAGGTGATTCAGGGAAATGAGGGGGAAAAATACAGAACTATAATTAATATTCTTAAAAGGATAACAAAGGATAATGTGTCGACCAAGTGGGAAAAGGATTTTGTAAAAAAATGATCAAAGTTTGAGGTCGGCCTTGGGAGTTCACTGAGACCCTGCCTCAAAAGAAAAAAGAGTGGGGCGGACTGGGGATGTAACTGTGTAGAGTACCCCTGGGTTCAATCTCAAGTACCGCTAAAAAAATAATAATACAGAGGACTGGGGGTGTAGTTCAGTGGTAGAGCGCTTACCTAGCCTGTGTGAAAGCCTAGATCTGAACCTAGCATTGAAAAGAGAAAAAAAAAAAAAAAAAAAGACTGTAAATTTAGGAGACTTTAGGACAAGATTCAAATAGTATTTAAAGTATTTAACTGTGAGACCGCAGACAAATTACTAATGTCTATGGACATCAGTGTCCTCACCTGCAAAAAAATAATAATACAGAGGACTGGGGGTGTAGTTCAGTGGTAGAGCGCTTACCTAGCCTGTGTGAAAGCCTAGATCTGAACCTAGCATTGAAANTGGGGGTGTAGTTCAGTGGTAGAGCGCTTACCTAGCCTGTGTGAAAGCCTAGATCTGAACCTAGCATTGAAAAGAGAAAAAAAAAAAAAAAAAAAAGACTGTAAATTAGGAGACTTTAGGAACAGATTCAAAGTAGTATCTAAGTATTTAACTGTGAGACCGCAGACAAATTACTAATGTCTATGGACATCAGTGTCCTCACCTGCAAAAAGGGTGATGTGGGGCTGGGGATATAGCTCAGTTGGTAGAGTGCTTGCCTCACATACACAAGGCCCTGGGTTCAATCCCCAGCACCAAAACAAACAAACAAACAAACAACTCAAAAATGGTGATGTTAGACCAGATCAGTGATTCCTCTTCATCATTGCTAAGGATGGCTTTTGAACTTTTGATCCTCCTGTCTCAGCCTCCTGAGCCACTGGGATTACAGGTGTGCACTACCACACCTGGCTGCATGATGATTTTTTAAGCAGTTCACAAAYGGATATAAATTATTTTGATAGATATGTGGGGGTTTTGTTGGTGGTGCTGGGGATTGAAACCAGAGCCTCACACATGCTAAGCATAATCTACCATAATCTACCATTAAGATGCACCCCAAACCAGACATGTAGTTTAAAAATGTGTATTAGCACATTAAACCCATAATAGTATGACTATTACTGTTTTGGTTGAATTTTTATAAATTTAGCTGGGTGCAGTGGTACACACCTATACTCCCAGTGACTTGGGAAGCTAAGGCAGGAAGATTGAAAGTTCAAGGCCAACCTCAGCAATTTAGGGATACTCTGTCTCAAAATAAAATAAAAATAAAAATAAAAATGACTGGTGATATAGCTTGACAGTAAAGTGCCCCTGGGTTCAATCCCCAGTACCAAAAAAAAATAAAAAATAAAAAAAATAAAGTAAGTCAATTCAAAGAAATATATTAAATATATAAGGGAGAGGGACACAATCACACACACAAAATTCCAACAAATTGGGAGGCTGAGGTAGAAAGATTACAAGTTCTAGGGCATCCTGGGCAATTTAGCAAGATCCTGTCTCAAAATAAAAATTAAATAAAGGGGTGGGGGTGTTTCTTTTTTTTTTTTTCTTTTTTTTTTTTTTTTTTTTGTGGTGCTGGTGATTAAACCCAGGACCTTGTGCATATAAGGCAAGCACTACACCAAATGAGCTATATCCTCAGCCCTAGAGTTAGACTTTTTTTTTTTTAAGAGATAGTGAGAGAGGAGGGAGAGAGAGAGAGAGAGAGAGAGAGAGAGAGAGAGAGAGAGAGAGAGAATTTTTTAATATTTATTTTTTAGTTTTCAGTGGACACAACATCTTTGTTTGTATGTGGTACTGAGGATTGAACCCGGGCCGCACGCATGCCAGGCGAGCGCGCTACCGCTTTGAGCCACATCCCCAGCCCCTAGAGTTAGACTTTTGAAAAACCCTCAACTTCATCAAGTCCTCAGATCTCTTCTTAGAATACAGTAATTGCCAACAGCAAAACTTCCAGGGCAAAAGGTCAGTAATCCCATATCACTGTCCCACTGGTACCACGAATGCTACATCCTCCATTCAGTGGTTCCAGGTCCTTCTCCCTCTTTCTCTGGTGATATATAACAGAGGCCACCAAACATTTGTGTCCCAGCATCTAGATACTTTCCCTGGCCTACCAGACAAAATTTATTACTAACGTTGGTCAAGATCAGCCTGGGTATGACAGATGCAGTAGTGCAGCCTGTAATCCCAGCAATTTGAGAGGCTGAGGCAGGAGAATCGCAGGTTCAAAGCCAGCTGCAGAAGATTAGGGAGGCACTGAGCAATTTAGTCAGACTGAGTCTCTAAATAAAATACAAAAAAAGGGCTGGGGATGTGGCTCAGTGGTAAAGCGCACCTGGGCTCAGTCCCCAGTACCAAAAAAAGAGTAAAGATTAGCCTGGTCTACTGTAAGGAAAAATAATCCCTTTCAATAATCCCTTAATTGATATACCTACTTCATCTTCTGGCCTTCATCTTTCAATTTTAAAAGAAGGTACACGAAAACTCTGAAAAGTTTTCAGACTAAGAAGAAAGGAAGGGACCGTGTGCCTCTGTGGCTGGGAGTCAGTGTCCTTGAACCCACAGGGTTTTTCACAAACCCTTTGTGGMGAGACGGATTCCTTCTCCACAGAAAGTTGAACGCCCACCTAGGGAAGGTCAGAGAAGGGTGCCCGATAAACAAAGCCCTGTGCTCCACAGTTACCTCAGGGCAGCCCCAGAAACTAGCTGTTTGCTTAGTGCTCCCAACAGCTGTGTCAGAAACACCAGAAAAGCACCAGCTGTCTCACTTTCTGTCAGGGCAGGTTTCACTTCCCTCCAGACCCCAGTCGCACAGGCCTCTGAGAAGAGGCTGGAGAAGAGCTGCCCTGAGGCTGAGGGTTCTGGGAGGGGCAGGCGTGGGGTTTACACTTGTTTGTGTAGGTTTCTCTGTGCCTTCATAGGGGGTGAGTTAGGCTTGTGTCTGTGCATTTTTGTGTCTGTGGGAGTATCTATGTGCATATTGATGTGCTGAATGTTTTCATGTGCCATTTATGTGGGGAGCTACGTATATAAATGTTTCTGTGTATGCATGTGAATTTACGTGGGAGGTTGTATTTATATTTGTGTTGATGTTTATGTGTTTGTAGGGAGGGTTATACACATTTGTGTTTGCAGTGAGGGTGTGTGTGTGTGTGTGTGTGTGTGTGTGTGTGTGTGTGTGTGTCTGCATGAGCCTATGGGCTTATGTGTTCTGTGTCTTCCTAAGGTATGGACAGCGAGTGTCACCAAGAGGCACTCCAGAATCTGTGAACTTTGGCAAGTGTATCCTTTCTCAGAATGTGATTGCAGGGGTTGGGGATGTAGCTTGGTGGAGAGAGCATGCTTAGCATGTTCAAGGCCCTGGATTCCATCCCCAGCATTAAAAAAAAAAAGTGATCTTGGATTGTGGGGCAATTTACTGGGCAGAGGATAAAAGAGTAGAGGTAATAAAATGTAAATGGTTAGTGGAAAATCAGTGCTGTGGAGACARGAAGGTGGAAAGTGTGGAGAGGTGTGAAGCTAGAGAGTTAGGTGTAGGGAAAGTCAAGAACAGTACCTCCAAGGGGTGGGGGGGGCGTGAGTAGATCAAGCCCTGAGGAGGGCTGCAGTCGCTTTCCTTTGCACCTCACCTTACCCTGGCCATGATATTTAAACTCTCTACACATTTTTTTGTTTTGTTTTGTTTTTGTAGTTGTAGTTGGACACAATAC